AACTATATCCCTTCTGAATAAGTCTGTTTAAAGGTTTGGTTAGCTTTTGGGGTGAATGCCGACATTTTTGTGCTTTGTAAAAATATTACCATAAAAGATTGGATGTGAAATACCTGAACGTATAAGATGTCTGCATGTTGATTTATATTTACGAATGATGTCCTTGTACCGATGATAAAATTTAGTAAATGTTTTGACTAGTTTGTGATATCGAAAACCCTGGTGTAATAATTTTTCAGTAATACAGAGATTTCTTTCGTTAAAATCAAATACGTTGTTACACACACGAGCGAATCGAAGAAGTTGAGATATATAAACACCATAAGATGGTGACAAGGGAACGTCACCATCTAAAAATGGATAATTAACAATAGGAAATGAAAAATCATCTCTTTTATCATAAATTTTGGTATTAAGCTTCCCGTTAAAGATATAGATATCAAGATCCAGGAAAGGACAGTGATCATTGTTAGTTTTAGCTTTATTTAAAGTCAGTTCAGCAGGATAAATCTCTTTAGTGTACATACTGAAGTCGTCATTATTGAGAGCCAATATATCATCCAAATATCTAAAAGTGTTATTAAATTTGTGTATCAGATGTTGTTGCGATGGGTCTTTGCTGATTTTAGTCATAAATTGTAACTCATAACAATACAAAAACAGGTCCACAATGAGTGGTGCACAGTTAGTCCCCATTGGAATTCCGATAACTTGACGATATACGGAATCTCCATAGCGAACAAAAATGTTATCTAGTAAAAATTCAAGGTCAGTTATAGTATCAAAGCAGGTCCAACATAGTTCTTTTGTTTGTTGTTACTAAAAAATGACCTAAAAGAGTTTGAACATATATATATTCGCATTCTGACTTTTTAAATGCCCATCTAATTAGGTGTGTGATTTTTTTCTTAATACGATTAAGAGGCAAAGTGGTATATAGGGTAGAAAAATCAAAACTTTGAACAGATTCGAAATCACCAATATAAGCATGCAATTTATCAAGTACTCCCAATGAATTTTTGACACTCCAAAAGTAATTAATTCCACTATTTTCAAAGGCCTTATTTGAACAGTTTATTACCAGGCTTTTGATTGTACCAAGTGTACTAGTAAGTAGAATAGACAGTTTGAAGACGAAATAAATCTATATTTGTAAGGTGTTTTGTGCAGCTTCGGAAGCCAGTACATAGTTGGAACTTTCATTGTATTTGGTTCTGCTTGTAAAGAAGTAGGTAAAAGTTTATGTTTATTACAGATGTCATTTTCCGAAAATGGAGTCAGTTGGAATGTTGGTGAATTCGTGATTTCCTTTTGCAGAACCTCAATGTAAAATTTACGTCAAAGAATAACTTTAGCTTATGTTTGATACGAGAAATAGGGTTTTTATGGTTGTTGTTAGGAGTAAAATGTTCCTTAAAATGTTGTATACGTTTATCAACTATGTTCATTACTGAATTAAAAAAAGAATCTAAGGATTTCTTGTCAGCTTTTTCTCGTTTTATCCATTTCAAGCAGTAAGTACGGAGTGAGTCGTGGATGATGTGACACTCATTCCAATTAATAATTGACGGGGGACGATATTCAGGTCCTTTACTGAGGAATGATTTCAACTCTCGGTCACGAACGATGTTAAGGTCTCCTGTTATAACATGGGAACTGGGGTCATAAATGTATTCGGAATAACTGCAATTTCATGACGTAGGTGTATTGTCACTGATATTTACATCTTTACACACTTCGCTATAATTAAAAACATATTTCCGGGTAGATTTTTTATAAACATAACAAAAAAGAGGGAGTTCAGTATTATCAAAATAGCCAGGAATTTGTTATTTAACAGAATGATCATTAAAGATACCGGCAATATTTACAATATCAAAACCTTTATTGACATATTTGATTTTAATAAAATGTTTTTTATGATCTTCAGGGCGATCAATTTTGGGAAACAGTTTAGAATAACAATATGCAATTATTATTTGGACGATTTTATACTTAGGACTGCAATATGGAATTGTGTTGCAATCCTCTAAAATTTGATGTAATTTATTAACAGGTAAAGAACAGAGCTTGGTTAACAGATTATGTCTGCCGTTGTTTTTTGAAATAGAAATTAGGTCCGAAATATTAGTATTGTTGGTACGAAATTTTCTTTGATTGCGATTTATTCTACGTCCATGAGAATGGTTTTTACGAACAGTTTTAGAAACTATATCCAAAATGTTAACACAATCGGTTCTTGATATGTTACCAATTCTCATGATATTATCATTAATACCGAAAGGATAGACTGTCTGTAATTTTTTAATCCAATTTAATTCAACTATTTTCCGTGATCGTACAAACTTTGAATGAGATTCCCCAGGTTGCTTATTTACTACTTCTAAAGGTTGAACTGTTAAATATTTAATAGGATGATTGTGCTTCTTAAGGTGTTGATAAATGATACTTTTGAATTTATGGGGTCTTTTAAAACGATAAAGACGTTCTTGCGTGCGTTTAGATAAATAGCGTCCAGTTTCACCTACGTACTGAATACCGCATCCCGGTTTGTTTCATGAGAGTATATAGATAATACTGTTAGTTTTCAATTTATATCAGTTTCAAAATTTAAGGAAAATGTGCGACCTTTAAACGTGGACCTTACCGTATTGTTGGTGGAAAGACGGGGACATGTAAGTCATTTTTTGGCATGACACTTATCGATAGTAGGGTAACCACAATTTCTATTATTAAAAATAATAGCGATTGTAGTATTTTTAGATAAGCGATTTTAAAGATTGAGACGTGTAGATACCCTTTGAACGAGTTTAGTATTTAGTATTTTTCCATTTTTCAGTTTCATTTTTGTTTTTGGTTATCCGTATTTACAATTGAAAGGAGCAAAGACTGGCGTCTAGAATATGAACCAGCACACATGAATTGAATAAAGTAAAAAAGATAAAACTGTTCGGCTAAAGACATCAAACGCTATCCGTCATTAAGTACCCGACAAAATACGTTAACTTCAAAAACAGAGGACAAAAACAAAAGATAGGGTATATCCGGTAGCGCCTGACGTCTGACTAAATAGTAGAATGGGGCTGAATAGTGAAATATGAGATTTAGATAAATATACCTAAAGTAATGAACATAGAGAAGTTCTCGCTCCGACACACACTCCATGTTCTTGTATATTATAAGAGCATAAACCTGAAGCACGGGGAGGCACTCTTCTGTCTCCACACGGCACTAAAGATAAACTCTGTAAAATATAAAATTGAGAATGGAAATGGGGAATGTGTCAAAGAGACAACAACCCGACCAAAGAGCAGAAAACAGCCGAAGGCCACCAAAGGGTCTTCAACACAGCGAGAAAAATCCCGCACCCGGAGGCGGGCTTCAGCTGGCCCCTAAACAAAAATGTGTACGAGTTCAGTGAAAATGGACGTCATACTAAACTTTAAAACATATAAATGAACTAAAATTAAAAATCATACAAGACTTACAAAGGCCAGAGGCTCCTGATTTGGGACAGGCGCAAATATACGGCGGGGTTAAAAGTAAAACTCAGTTTAAAAGAAGTCCGATGTCAGAATAGGTAACAAAAGAACATATATGACTTTGAAAAGAATAACCGGAAATTCCCTATTGTAAACCGAAAGTAGCCATTTTTGTATTCATTTCATGCAAAAGTACATAGAAACCATATACTAAATAAAGTAACCAATCGTATGATCATGGAAGTGACATTGTGATCACATACAATTGATTTCGGTGCGCTTAACACATTAGCGCGTTTCTTGAATAAATGTCATTAACTTTAATTTCGCTTATAATTTTAACATACGATTGCTTCAGCGAAATATATAGACCCTTTAGAAACACCAAACAAAATATTTCAAACCTAAAATACAAATTTTAACAAGTCAGCTTTCATAAGAATTTGGTAAGAATACTTTTTCTGCAGCAGCAATGAATATTAAAAAAGCTTTTTTGGCAACTTGAATGACTCGTTTTTGCAATTTCGATCTTTTTTGTGCATGAACATATTTACCTGTTAAACGCAGAGCATTTCACTACATTAACAATTGTGGAGGCGATGAAAAATTCCATCTGCACTGCTGTAAAGGTCAAATTCAACTGTAATTGTTCTGAAAGCAAAGTAATGTAATCATGGTTTGAACACATAAGTAAAAAGTATGACAAAATCTACAGCACTTTGAAATTGAACTTAATCATAATAATGATAACTGTTGGGTTTCAACAAGAGTCAATAATCGAGTGTAATCTGAAAGATTTGCTTTCTAAATTGTTGTTAATCGTTTCTTTTTTTTTTGGCAATGTTATTTTCTGTATTTTGAATCTTGCAATTGGTTCCATTTGTGTTGTGTTATGTATTTTGTTAATACGATAGTTTCAAATCCCACAGATATGTGTCCATTGAATCAGTTTACAACTTAAGTTTTATATAATTCATAAGAGAAGAAAAGATGTTCATGTTCTTCATTATTATCAATTCAGATATTTTCAGTTAGTTAACAATAAAATTTGATGTTGTTTTTTTATTTTATTTCAAATACATTATTCTGCATTCTGAACAAGAAGTTTCTGTTTCATTTTTATTTGGTAATATTATACTCTATATAATATACTTTTAATCTTTTAACATAATCTTAGATCTGTCAATTTGCAATAGCAAAATTGTGTTCTACCCTTAACAAAATTTTAATCAATTCCTATGTGTTATCAAGACAATGTGTATAACGCAGCATCTTTGCCTCTCAGTCAGCTTAGCTACATGAACAATAGTTTTCGTTAGCTCAGGGATGCATATATACACTTGCGAATGCTGCTTTATACTAGGTGGTTACATCTATATATTACCATCACCAACTTGCAAAAGGCATTCATAATATTCAGTCCCTATGTTCATTGCCCGACTATTACTAAATTCATTCCGACAAAATACTCGATTAAACTCAATCTCTGGATCAAACTTGAATTGTACGAGAATCCTTTCAAGATGTCCCTGAAAAAAAAATAGCAGATGACTCAAACTTAATTTGTAGGCAGACTGCAGTATTTATTGTTTTTGAACAGTTTGCCAGAGAAATTATATGTTAATGTCGATGGTATTTGAACAGTCTACTAACAATTTATTTCTAACTTTGAGCTTGGTTGAACATCGCGGGTAATGACTTTGTCTTTTAAGCCATTTCCAGGGTTCCACATTCATGTTTTAACCATTATATTTGTATTGTCCAAAAGACAAAAGGATTTTCTTATGAAATTTCTAAACTGCCATTTTTGACACAAAAACATATCATCTTGTTCAGATATCAATTTCTTCGAAATATCACTAAAAGGTTTCGAAATAGTAAGCTGCCATGTCCATCTCGAGTCTTGGATCAATACCGAATCGGTTTTGATATGCATACATGTAATATTTTGAAGAATACAGAATATGGAAATATTGTTTATCAACCAAAATAAATCTATAATAAATGAATGAATATGAGAGAGCTCATTAATTTAGTTCAGATATATTTAATTTCCTTAATCTCACGTGTGTTTGAGATTTACAAATCGATGACATTTTAAAGTTGATCTCGGTTTTAAATTTGTTTCCAACATTCTATATCAATTGAGCTAAATGAAAACATTCTTCTATCACTGGTAAATATCATATAACAATCATCAAAAGCAATGAAAGATATACTGCATTTTGTAAATTTCTTTGTATTCAATTTCATTTGATGTACACATTTGAATAAATGTTTATGATTAAATTCATAATATCATATAATTTTTGAAAACTTAATATTCCAATAAAATCTTTCAACTGAACATCTATCCAAGAAGTGGCTGTCCCTTTTTTGACATTGATGATATGAATTGAAGGATATGTGGGATTTACGTCAATCTGAGAGCAATCAAATGAAGCAGAAACTAAGGCAAATTTACTACACAATAGACCAGGTCTATTTTGGTTTAGCCAGCTATAAAACCATGTTTAACCCACCATTTTCTACATAAGGATATGCCTGTACCATGTTAGGAATAAGACAGTTGATTTCCATTCGTTTGATGTGTTTGGATTTTTGATTTTGCCATTTGATAGGTGACTTTCCATTTTAAATTTTCCTTTGAGTTCGGTATTTTTTTTATTTACTTTTTTCGTACCGAGTCTAGTTAATGTGGTGCTAAAATTCAATAGGCATGCCAACGATGCAATGAAAACAGAATTTCTTTCATGACAAATAAACTTAAAAATATAATTAAAGAAATAATCAAGCAATGACACGACGACTACAAAAAAAACGGTAAACAACCCCATGGACGGTTAAATGAAACCAAAACACCACACATGAAACTAACTATCATAATAAATGGAAACAAAACCCAAAACAACAGTACCCACAGGTTCTCACAAGGAGGAAGTTCCTACTCCACTGTTGACACTCGTTGTCTTACCCGAAGTATCCGGTAATGATGAGTGTTCATTAGTGTAACAATTAGAAAAAAGGCGACGCAATTTAGCTACGACTAGTTTCAAAGAGAAGACAAGACTCCAAGGTATTTCGAAAACTTTTTTTTTTAAGAAAGACAGACACCACAATTGTAGAAAGTAGAAAAGTTTAGTACGCTCAACACGCGTACACGATTCGTCTACATAAGACTAATCAGCTCGAGTCAAAATAGTTGGAAGGCCAAATCAATAACGAAGTCGTGTAAACAAATGACAGTCCTTTACACAAAAACATGAAGATAACTTCGGTCATGTCAAAATGACATCCGTAAACCTTTCATACAAATGACTTCAACTTTACCATTTCAAATCTTTGTAAACGATTGCCGATAACATGTATACATTCAAAATTTGATTAATTCAAAAAGAAAAGCAATACACAGAAAAAAACAAAATACTGACATTATCTGTAGTTTCATTTATCACGAGTTTCTTTGCCTTGACCTGAAGACATTGTCGACCGACAGATGGCAGCCACCAAGTTGTATGATCAGCATTAACCATGCATCTAAAATTAAGAGCATGCTGGATTTTTCAAAATGCATATTAATTCTGTTGTGAAGTATATGTAAATGTTGTAGTTGGCCAATGCCTAAGGGTTGACAATACTTGGGAGTAGCATTCGTTTGGCTGTGTCGAATGCCGGAAAGCCCGGTCGGAATTGGAACGTTAAACTCGGTTTATTATGAATGGAGACTCAAATGGTTGACTTAAGTATGGAAATATTTTCATCTATGGACTTCTCTTGTCCATCAGTTAAACACTGGTCAAGGTTTGGCGTTCATTTGACTCTGTTATACGTGTAAATTCGCAGTCAAGACCGGACAGGTCAGAATGCGGACGTCTTATCCAATGTTTCGTGAAGGTATAGTGTGTTGCTCCCTGTATGTCAGAGACCTTTTGTAACAAATACCAGGCGGGTCCGTAGGTAGCATGTTACAAGGGAAAATTTGTCTCGGCTTCCATCTGTTTGACCTTCCTTGCAAAACCTACTTATTCTGTTCCCGACCTGAATATGAATGAGGTATATGCAACTGGACGTTAGGCAAGCAACACATAATCAACAAATGCTGTACAGAGAGTGCCATGCCCACTTTACGTTAAAGAAGCTTTGCAACAATAAAGTCATTGAGAGGTCCGCTCACAGGTAAAATTTCTCTCCTGTCCAAGTAGTCCTTTTATTGCAGAAGTAGTCTAAATACCTGTCTTTCATACCGATCGACCGTTTTGTAGTACCTACCTTTTAAAGTTCGTGCTAAATGTTCTTCCTCTAAATATGCATACTAGTATTTATTTCTGCCAGTGGAACAATCCATAACGTAAAAGGCGATTATAAATCCCTAGATTTAAACCGTCTTAAATTTTCCCCGATTTCTTTTTACAAAACAAGAAATGTTCGGATGAATTATTTTATTCTATCTTTAAATGATATGTGGTATATACGTGTACTTTTAATTTCCCCTACAATAAACATTATTACGGTCAACCTGAAGCAAAGATAAAACTGTTGATAGACTACTGGTACATGCCAGTTAAATGCAACCCCAGCAATATAACGTTGCGCAATTCTCTCAAATTTTTATTACCCTCAATCAAGTTACTTATGTTCATGATATTGTTTGCAACCTAACCAGGAGATGTTTACTATGTCGGAGGATTCAATGTCGCATAGCCGTTTGGAGTTCATGCATTTTTGTTTAGATTATTGAAAAACTACTGTTGCCACTTGCATATTTGTAAAACTTGGCGGCTTGATGAACCGGTTGGATATTATTTAGACAACAGCTGTAAACGCAATCTATTTGAAAAGAGAATTTCTATTTTATTCTCTTTTTTCAATGTTTTCTATTTGTGTGAACAAAATATTCCAACAAACATTTAACTGGCATGATTGTAACACATATATTTGATGATGGTATCAAATAACACTACACAACAAAACTTGGAGAACAATCTCAAGAAATAAACACGTATTACTTTACATATACAAGAAACGCAGAAATTATTTGTTAACAAGTATTGGGGAAATTTCCCCATAAAGTTGATAACCAATCAGATATCAATAATTTGGGAAATTTCCCCAAAAAGATGATGACCAACAACAAATCAATAGAATGGGGAAGTTTCCCTAAAACGATGTTTACGAAAAAGAAATCAATAGAATGATAAAATCTCCCCAAAATGATGAAAACTAAAAAGAAATCAATAGAATGGTAAAATTTCCCCAAAAAAGACGATAACCAACAAGAAGTCAATAGAATGGGGAAATCTCCCCAAAAAGATGATAACCAACAAGAAATCAATAGAATGGGGAAATTTCCCCAAAAAGACGATAACCAACAAGAAGTCAATAGAATGGGGAAATCTCCCCAAAAAGATGATAACCAACAAGAAATCAATAGAATGGGGAAATTTCCCTAAAAAGATGATAACGAAAACGAAATCACTAAAATGGGGAAATTTCCCTACAAAGTTGATAACCAAAAAGAAATCAAAAGTCTGGGGAAATTTCCCAAAAAAGATGATAACGAAAACGAAATCACTAAAATTTCATAATCAAAAATAAATCAATAGACTGGGGAAATTTCCCAAAAAAGATGGGAATGATACCGAAATCAATAGAATGGGGAAATTTCCTTACACAGTTGATAACCAAAACAAATATTTAGACTGGGGAAATTTCTTCACAAAGATTTAAACCAAATAGTTTTCTATAGACTGGGGAATTATTCCCACAGAGATGATAACCAAAATAAGTTCACAGGCTTGAAGAAAATACTCATGCATTGCACAATGATTGCACATTCTGTTGTATACAACAGCGAGAAATATGTCGTCTAACAGATACTGTAAGAATAGAAAAGAGTCACTGTTGTGAATGCGAAACATTTTCAGCAGCAGATAACACTATTGAAAGAAATCATTGGCTGGGGAAACATTCACACTGATAAATTAAACAACAAACATCAGAGATAGAGATGATACAGTATAGGAAATGGGCTAATTTCCTCACAAACTCTTGTGTAACTGTAATCATGTATATGGGGGCCTTTGATAGGCGACTAAACAGTATGGTTTTTCTCATGTTGAAGGCCGTAAGGTTGCCATTAATTGTTAATAAAATGCTCCGCAGGGCGCAGCTTGATACGACCGCAGAGGTTGAACCTTGAACAGTTGGGGCAAGTATGGACACAACATTCAAGCTTGATACAGCTTTGCATTTGGATTGTGATTAAATATTTGACACAGCATAGGTTTCTGACACAGAATGAATGTGGTCTAAGAACTTAAAAATTTTAAATTGGACATTCACCTATAGCTATTATGGTCCAATATCCAAAATCTAAATACATGGTTAGATTCAGCATATCAAAGAACCCCAAGAATTCAATTTTTGATGAAATCAAACAAAGTTTAATTTTGGACCCTTTTGACCTCAATGTGGACAAAGTTGATAACGGGGCCCAAAAGTCAAAAATCTAAATACATGGTTAGATTCAGCATATCAAAGAACCCCATATATTCAATTTTTGTTGAAATCAAACAAAGTTTAATTTTGGACCCCGATTTGGACCAACTTGAAAACTGGGCCCATAATCAAAAATCTAAATACATGGTTAGATTCAGCATATCAAAGAACCCTAAGAATTAAATTTTTGTTAAAATCAAACTAAGGTTAATTTTGGACCCTTTGGACCTTAATGTAGACCAATTTGAAAACGGAACCAAAAATTAAGAATCTAAATACACGGTTAGATTCGGCATATCAAAGAATCCCAATAATTCAATTCTTGATGAAATCAAACAAAGTTTAATTTTGGACCCTTTGGACCTCAATGTGGACCAATTTAAAAACGGGGCCCAAAATCCAAAAACTAAATACAAGGTTAGATTCAGCATATTAAAGAACCCCAAGAACTCAAGAATAAAACCCCACTGAAATTGGTCAAGAAATAAGCAATTTATATGAAGTATCTTCTTTTGCACAATACTGTGCAATTAAATATTTCTTGCTATTGCGCAATACTGTACAATTGACAATATCTTGCTATTGCGCAATATTGTGCTATTGGACATTCCTTGCTATTGCGCAATACTGTGCAATTGAAGATTTCTTGCTATTGCGCAATACTGTGCAATTGAAGATTTCTTGCTATTGTGCAATACTGTGCAATTGAAAATTTCTTGCTATTGCACAATACTTATAATATAATAATTTACACATCCTGTTTGGTGTGTATCTCCTACCATAGCATTATTATTTGCTTTTAAATATAAATCAGAAATAACCAACTTAAAATGAAAAATTTTAAAAGAAAAAAAAAGGAAAAAAAAAAAAATCCCCCCCCCCCCCCCCCCAATTTTTTTGAACCCCCTTATGATTAATCACCCCCAAACTCAATCCCAGCCTTCCCTTTGTGGTATGGTACCTTGCAGTACAATTTTAGAGAGATCCATACACTTGAACACAAGTTATTGTCTGGAAACTAGAAAAATGTGTTTTTTGGCCCCTTTTTGGCCCCAAATTCCTAAACATTTAGGGCAATTACCCCAAAACTCAAACCTAGCTTTCCCTTTGTGATATGGAACCTTGTAGTACAATTTCAGAAAGATCCATACACTTACACACAAGTTATTGTCCTGAAACTAGAAAAATGCTTGTTTTTTGCCCCATTTTGGCCCCTAATTCCTAAAATTTTGAGGCAATTACCCCCAAAGTCAATCCCAGCATTCCTTTTGTGATATGGAACCTTGTGGTACAATGTCAGAGAGATCCATACACTAACACACAAGTTATGTCTGGAAGTTACAAAAATGCTTATTTTGGCCCCTTTTTGGCCCCTTATTCCTTTACTGTTAGTACCATAACCCCCAAAATCAATCCCAACCTTCCTTTTGTGGTATTGAACCTTGTGGTAAAATTTCATAGAGATCCATTCACTTAAACTAAAGTTAGAGTGCGAAAACCAATGTGTCTTCGGACGACGCAGGACGACGCCGGACGACGACGACAACGACAACGACGACGACGACGCCAACGTCATACCAATATACGACCACAAAAATTTTTTTGCGGTCGTATAAAAACCACTTAAAATGATCTTTGAGGAATAGATGTCTCATTGACAATCATACCCGATCCCCTTATTTATGAATAGCTATAAATTGACTCGTATGTTTTAATCTGTCGGGGCCTCGATGGCCAAGTGCTACAAGTAGTCCAACTACTGTATCGCTAGCCAGTCAACGCTGAGATTATGAATTCGAATTCCGCTCGTGCAAGGTGCGCTCGACTCCAATCTTAATTGACTAGGCCCATGATTGTCAGTTTTCCTATCGAAGGTTCGTGGTTTTCTTCGGGCAATCCGGCTTCCCCCATCAATAAAAAATGACCGCAACGAAATAGCACAATAAATAGTGTTGAAAGTGGCGTTAAACACCAACAAATCAATCAATCAATCAATATAATCTGGTGAATTTCCCAGCCTGTTTGGAAAAAATTACACC